CATCGCGTAAGCATCTGCCTCCCTCATTTTCCAGCATCCAAATAGAAGCATGAGAAGAATGACTTGGTTTAAGATTAATCTCTTGATATAACATTGTTGTGGAGACTTTCATTTCGTGTCAAAAGTGCATGATGAAGAGATTAGTAAGTCGATCTCACCTGAAGACGACGACAGATTTGCGTTGCTCAGTGTTAAATAGCGCTCCTAATAGTTTCAACTCGGTAGAACATTTTTCTGTTAATTTAACCAATCTATTTTCTGTTATTGCACCTTAATTATGCTTATTCATTGTTCCTTTGTTAGTTCAGGATGATGTTAAAATTAGTATATGGCCTAGCTAATTCACTGTAAAGTAGCTGGTTTCTAAAGTTCACATTTAGCATTTTAGGTCTTCTTGACTTAGGGTTAACTTGAAGCTTATGCAAGAATGAGTTCAAGTTCTAACGGTCTCCATCAAATGGCTTCACGAACGAAAGTTGAGTCAGTTTCCACCCAAAATAGGGCGGTATGTCTCATAAACTGCGTTAACCTGAAAGTCTCTTGGGTGAGATCGAGCTTTGAAACTTTTTATCATGCACTTTTACATGAAACTAAAGTCTCCATAACAAAAACATTAAGCAGTTTACAAACTCGTAGAATGCCTTTTTAACATCGCGACATTACATTTCAAGAAGTGGGTTAGGTTTATGCTTTTTTTACTTTTTTGATTTGTAAAGTTCAGATAGGGTGTGATTATCGCCATGACGATGGCTGTCATGTCAGGACTGAAGAAAGCTCAGTATGATTGGATCGGGGTCATGTGAATGTTCGTCGTGGACGTCTTTGCGCAAATTTACACTCTCAACTGGAAGGTGTATTTTATCGTTTTTCAACAAGACTATTTGACTAATCATTACTATAAAACTTTTCACACGCAATTAAAGGTTTTATGCGATGAAATTATTAAAATAGTCTTCAAAAACTCATACTTTTACTAATTAAGCAATCCATTATTACACTTTTTCTCTCTAAACTTAGGACTCTGAACTGCAGGATTTAAGACAGACAATCGAGTCCCTCCGCCTTCAGTCTGGAATGCTCGACAGATCTTCCATCCTCAGGCAAACACTGGCCGCCCAGTCGTCAAGATCCCTAGTTGCAGAGCCAGGTAACAACCTGTCGCCAGCTCCGAATTCGCCTCCCTGGGCCTGTCAACAAGCGCCCCAGACCCCGCTTCATCTTTTCGGATCCGACGGACATCGAATGCTGTCGCAAGAGACCGCTGGTATTGACACTCAAGATCGCTTGTGCCCGGCTGTTACTAAGGTCAGAGGTGCCTCCGAAGCAGCCGGCTTGGAGGGTGGCCCAGAGGAGATGTTTCTGGCTCCTGGGCGTCAGGACTACATCGGCAATGGTACCAATAATTCGGGAAGGCCGTATGGAATAGTGGAGGAGCACAAGACGACAAATCCTGTCAGCTTGGGCGAGAAGGCGAAAAAGAGTGGAGGCTGGGTGAGTATTGACAGAGACCTCAGTCTGAGAGCAAAAATTTATTTATTTTATTTACCGTTCATGAGTAAACATAAAAAATAAAACCGATGGTATGAAGACCGGGAGGGTGTAGCCTTTTGTATGGTCTGCCAAAGCAGTATGAGAGGTTAGACGAATTGGATTGCTCGAGAGTTTACTGCATAGCATGCGGCGTCTGCGAACAGAAATGCATTGGAGAAATTGGGAGAAAGATCGGCCTACGAATGAGGGAACATCAAAGGCTCTGCAGGAAAATGGATACGGAAAGATCAGATATAGCGAACGGAACACGTCGCAGAGACTGGACACGAGATCAATTGGAAGGCCACAGAAAGAAGGACCTTATGCAGTGAAAGCACAAAGAAACGGAAGTTTAGGGAGGCCTTTGACATCCTTGGGGGGGATGTAAGGAAAAGGAGATCGGAAGAAAACAGAGTCAGTGATAACTTTGTCTATTGCCTAATCAAACTCGGAGAAAACAAGGATGCTACAAGAAAAGCAAAAAAGAAGAAAAGTTGGGTTTCGAAGAAGCTTCTGTTTCATAATTGTTAGGCTTACTTCCATTTCGAGTGGAAGTGTTAAATGAAGAGATTTGAAGGTCGGTTTAAATCGAAAAAAAGGCTGGCTGCATGTGGTGAAAATACAAGAAAACGCAAGATATTGGTGGTCTCGAAGACCTAAATAGAAAAAAATACGAACAAT